GTACAGTCACGTGCAACAGTTAGTAAAGATTGTAGTAAAACGAACCTAAAATTATGGTCAAGAGTTCTTTACGAACATGAAAAACCATTCTAATAGTTAACTTCACTGTTATGGTGCATATATTCACCATTGAATGTAAGTGATTGCATTCTAAAAGCATAGAAATTGTTAAATTTTATATTTCCATCACTTTTGCCAGAGATTGTATAGCCTGAACATTCTTAATTGTCCTTTGCGATTTGTGTGCTTCTCGTTCAGCCATCTGCGAAACGTTCGTCGAGCTCGTGAATTAATAACGTCAGAACAATTTTGGAGATCTCGCGGAGGTACTTGGAAAAGCACTCGAACAACGGGTGAGCAGACGACGAGAGCCGAGGGAGGTCAAGATCCTCTCTTAGAATTGTATCAGGATGAGATCGAGGTGCCCCGTGATAAAGCCTGTACGAAAGTAGGGTCAAGCCCCGCGTCTCCGGGCACGGAAACGAGATCAAGAACAGATAGAGACAGTGGCTCGTGAAAAAGTTGAATGATCGGGTCAAGATGGATCAACGACGGTGATAAGAATCGCGAATCGAAATCGGGTCGAGCGTCTCGACGTGAGATCGCACGGTGAAAGTTCATTACACCGTCGAATCTAATTAATTTTCGCTTTTCATCTTGAAACCGTTCTCGGGTCGCTTTAGACTTTAACTTTAGACTTCTTCGAGTGCTGATCGATCTGTTCCCGTGGGACACCGAACCATAAAATTACGAAACGTGAAGATGAAAGAGGAAACGAGCCTGCCAGCGTATATGTACATCGTTCAGTTTCAGCGACGAACGGTGTCCCTTTTTCCCCTGTTTTTCTCGTAACGGGAGCCATGAAAGGACTGACACGGTGTAATCAACGGGGGTAGAGCGAGCTGTGCGCTATTGTGGTCACATTGTTTCCTCTGCCCGGCTCATTGTTTTCCAGCTTTGTCGATCAGTCTGGCAACGAGTCGCGCAGGCCGAAAAACAATGCGACTCGCAATTACTTTTTCACAGACGAGACGCCGACCACCCGCGCCCGATACGCGGAATAGCAATGGCAGTGATCGTCCAATCGTGGACAGAGATCCCGAGCTGAAATTATCGCGATCGGCGTTGATACGACGTATCCGCAGACTGGATCGATCCGATGTGCGATGGAAGTCGAGTTTTCCGACATACGGAAAACTTTTCTCATCGCTACTAAGGTAAAGGAGGTAGTACTGGGACAAAACGAATTTTGGAACCAGTACTTGGACATAATAGATATGTATTTAATAATTTACTGTCCAAGTTTACAATCCCTTTTGAAACTTAATACGTA